CCACCGCAGTGTGCGTCCCTCTCCTGGGGACCTTGGGGTGCCCCAAATGGCATCAGAGCCCCGAGTCTTCAGCCCCTTTTCCTGACCCCCGAAGAAGGCACAGGGCGGGTCCAACTGCCCCAAACAGCAGCCCAGCACTCCCTTCCAGCCCTTCCCACACCTCCATCCCTCCCAAAAGGGACTCTGCCACAAGAAATGGGGGGCAGCCCCCGGAAGGGTTGAAGCTCCTGCCCAGCCTCGCTGTCACAGGCCAGGGGCAGAAAGAGGGAGGAGAAGCAGAGAGGACATAGGAAGGAAAAGAAGACCAGTGTGCAGGATGAAATTGGAAGCACCCTCCCCTCCAAAAAAACCCAAAAAAACACCTGGGATGGGCAGTATGACATAGAGGGATTAAAAAGAACAGGAACAGGGAACAGGACACAAGGATCCCACGAGGAACAATGGCACGGGGAGCACTAGAGCCACAGAGAATAAAAAGGAACATGAGTGAGGCATGGAGAAGGACACAGAAAAAACCAGAGTGCCAAACACATGGCAAGGACAGAGGGATACAGAGGCACAGAGGGAAACAAGGACCCAGAGGGGAAACAACCACAGCACATTCCAGTGGGGGGATGATGGGCAAGATGCTTCTCCTCCAGTCACTACACGAGTTTCCTTGTAGAAATTGCAGTTTCCTTGCAATTTCATGCTCAGGGTCTCCTCCAAGCTCAACATGTGAACAAACATGTACTCCCAACATCACCTTCCTTGGGGCAGCACAGACCCACCGGGGGAACCTGGAATCCAAGGATGGATCTAAACATGGGAATCCTACTTGCTACTCTCTCCACCTTTTCCCCAGCTTAGCCCTGGGCTGGGAAACAAAAGACAACAAACATTTAAAAACCAAACTTGAGGTGTCTTGAGGATGCCCATGCCTGGGAGAAAGCCCTTCCCACCACCCTCTTGGCCTTTTCCCACTCTGAGGAACTGTGGAAATGCACATCTAGAGCCAGGATGGACAGCCTGGGATGTTTTCTGCCACAGCCCTGAGCACCAGAAGCCTGCAGATGCTCTGGATTGCAATTCACAGCCTCAGTGAATCCTACATGGGAGAACCAAGTCATTTGTGCCCAGAGGAAATCCAAGTCACTGTTTTTAATAGTTAAAATATCCGTGGAAGTTACTGGCTGCTTACAGCAGTGAGCTTCCTATGGCCTCCCATACTTAGGGATTTATCAGGAGAAGCAGTTTCTGGTTCCTTCCTTTTGAAGCCCAGCTCCAAACGGGAAACTTCTCACAACTGCTCCTTCAGAAGCTCAGGAAAGCAACTCCCTCCCCTGAGTCATGTATCACCTCCCCGAGCCCCCACAGTGCTTTTGTACCACCTCCTCCCAGCTTCATTTAAAATGTGAGAAGCCTGCAAGCTCTGCCTCCAGACCCAGGCACATCTTCCCTGTGCCCCAGCACTGCCCCACCTGCTCAGGTGCTGCTCCCCCCTCTGCTGGCCCTCACCATGGGCTGAGGTGGGAGAAACTGCAGGTTTTGTTTCCCTGGAAAGGCTCTGCCAGGCAACCTTGAATGTTCTTGGAAATGTCTGAGTGCCACACAGGAAAACATGGATTTTTATTTTAAAGTAATTTTATTTTATGCCTCTCCAGAATTCCAAGCACAACATCTGTATTACTGAAGGAAAACAACACAGACCAGACAAGCTTATCCATCAGCAGTGAAACATGCCCTTCACACTGTGGGTGCACCTGTCCTTTGGAGCTCTCCTATGGTCCTGGCAGTTCATCTCTGCACTGACAGAGAAAACTGCATGGTTTGAAGAGTGCTGAGATAAAGGAGGATACATTAGGAGGGCCATGGATATAAAATAAATTAGAAGCATCGGTAAAAGTTTCTTTCATATACAAAATAACTTTTCCTTTTTGGGGGGTGATTTTCACTTTTTAAAATTGACAGTCTGTACACAGATAAACCTTTCCCCAGAAATCATTTAAAAATGCTGGTTTTACAAGGAAAAAGGAGCCACTTAAGAACCCATCCTGCAAACCCACAAGCCTCTCCTCAGTTGAGGGTGCCAATCTTTGGAACCAGTTCTGCCCTGGGAGTGACACTCTGCTGCTGATGTGTTCAGGGCCTCCAGAGTATGGAAGAACTGAATCACCACCCTGCTGGCTAAATCAGAGCACTGAGTGCCCCATCCAGTCCTTTCCTGAACAGCTCCGTGGAGGGTGACTCCAGCTCCCCCCTGGGCAGCCCCTTCCACTGCCTGACCATCCTTTCCATGGAGAAATCCTTCCTAATGTCCAGCCCGACCCTCCCCAGGTGCAGCTTGAGGCTATGGCCTCTGGTCCTGTCACTTGTTACCTGGGAGAAGAGGCCACTGCACACAACCTGGCCACAGTGCCCTCGCAGGTAGACACCCCACAGATGATTTGCAAGTGTGTTCCAGGACACGTGGTGAATGAGTTACTCGGACACTTGGCTGAGCGTGGCATTTCCACAGCCCTGGCCTGCTGAGTTTCCCTAGAAATCAGAGTGACACACTCAGCAGTCCTGCTTTGAGCTCCTGTGCCACTGAGCTCCCAGGAGCTGAATTACAGAGCAGGACAAGTGAAAAGGAACTTGCACACCAGGTGGGTAACCTCGTACCAAGGAGATGCACGGTCATCTGCAGCTTTCAGGATGTCAGATTTGTTTTGCTGCCTTGCTGTACTACTCTAAAACCTAGGGCAAGAAACTTAGCTTTAAAATGAAGACTATTACATTTCTAACCTTCCCCTGCCATTAGTCACCATTAGAACAGAGATAAGAAGTACCAGCCTGTGCTGCTTCCAAAATCTTGTACAAAAATAGATCACTATGTCCTTTGGGCAGTCTCAAAAGTCTGCAGATTCTTCTTTCACCTCTGGCTTCCAACAGGTACAGTCAGGTCCCGCTCCCAAGCCTTGTGTCTCGGTTAGAATCATGGACAAATGAAGTTTGTATTCACTTCCCTTGGAATCGCTATTTGGAATCCATCCTGGTCCCATTCTCATTGCTTGGATTTCTTTACATTTTCTCTTTCTTGTCCCAGGGAAACGCATTGGCAGTGCAAACACGAAGCAGGTATGATGAGACTCCTGCCCACCCCCTTCCCCAAACAGCAAGCCATCACCTGGCATTGCCCAAAGGGCCCCCAAGGCGTTATCTGCACGCACAGGACTCCACTGTCATGTTGGGGTACACCTTCAGAACCACGTTCTTGTTTTCATCAAAGAACAGGATACTAAGAGAAGACATTTTGTCAGGAACACAGCAAGGCTCGGGAATGCCGGGGACGACTCCGACAGCTCTCACAATGCTCTGGATGGTGGCGTGGTTGGACGGCTTCATGGCCTGCAAGAGAAAGACGTGGCAGAACATGTTACTGCACCCACATTGCCATGGATTCATGTACTCTACAATAAGATTGCTTTGTTGAAGGGTCCTGTTGAGACCCCTCAGCTGGAACATCAGTAGCCAGTGGCACTGCTGTGGAAGTGAGCCTCCAAGACAGCCGTGCCTCATACTAAAATGACATTTTCCTCAGGGAAGAAACTTTAAAGGACAAAGTTTCCTAAATGTATAGAAGGGGACACGCTTGGGTTTGCTCTGAACAGAAAGCAAATCTGCCTGCTAAGGTAACTGTCATTAAGATGTTCATAAAAATAAAAAACCAACACAGAGAAATGAAAAGCAAAAAGTTTTTCTCTGAACCCTGATCCAAGTATCTGTACAAGAGATAGGTGAGTATGAAAACTGCACAATACACAGCTTTTAGCCAGGGAATTTTGCTTTGGTTTTTAGAGTTGCTCTTACACACACACAAGGTGGGGAATCAAAACAGTTCAGTGTGTATCCCATCACATGTCGCTGAGAAATATACAGAACGAGGTTATTTTGGCCAAATGTTCAATTTGCAGTTTGGCTGCAATGAGAGATGATTTGGTCCTGTGAAAAAAAGTCAGTCTTATGGTTTAGATATGGACCTGCAAAAAGCGCAGGAATAACTGTGAATTCCAGCTTGTCACATCATTTGCACAGCACATTAGTACATGAAGTTGTAAATCTCCATCTAGGCTGATCAAAGACATTTCTGTCGGTTTGTTTTGAATGCAAGAGTACCTATACTCCTCAGCAGTAGCAGCCAGGGATTTAAAAATATGTTTTAGGTTATCATACAACTCAGATTTCTGTATTATTTCTGTCTTCAAAGGGAAGTGAAAGCTCTGGTAGTGCCCAGCCATGCTTCCTTTCTCAGCTGCTGGGCAGCATTCTGCCCAAAATAACTGGGAGCTAAGCCTGCTGATCACATGCCAAAAGGTAGAACACCTACTGAGATCCCATTTCCTGTAGGCAGTAGTACTAAAACCGGGACTCCAAACATGCCACGTAACATCTCCTCATAAACCTTCTCCTTCAGATATGGAATTCAGGGCCCCAAAATGCTAAATTGCACCACACTGACTTCAGGCTAAGCAGCACCGAACGGATTTCAAGCATGGCTTTTGGTGGGAACAGCCTGGACTCACGCTGTCCTAAGAGAGGTACCTCTGACTGGGCAGGGTACAACAGAGAACACCCTGCACGCTGGCCCCAGCCCGTGAGGAGCTGCACTGGTCCTTCAGCTGCACCCTGAAGGACAAGCAGCTTCAGCCAGTGGGAATTTTACCGTGACTGGAGCAAAAGCCAAAGTCCCACACTTCTCAGGAACCTCAAAGTCCCACGCCAGGTCACGCTCCCAGCACATGTGGGTTTGACAGCAGTCAACCAGCTGCCTAGAAGCAGGGCATGGCTAAAAACATTGCACATCTGGAGGTGTGGGGGGGCACATCTGTTCTCCATTACCAACAGGTTGTTAACTCCAGGGCCTCAGCAAGGGGACATGACGTACCCACAGGCACAGACTAGTCTGTTCTTGCCTGAGGGTCAGGGTATCCTTCTGCAAACACGCTCTCAGTAGCAGCAGGTCCCGTGATGCTCAGCTTTGAGGCCAGCCACTGCAGCTGGAGGTGGGCAAGTCATCTCCTCCTCCAAGCTCCTTCTGCAGCTTGCTTTGTCTGGGCACCATCCCCTTTGGTGCAATTCTTCCACCCATCACTTTCAAAGGCTCCTTAAGCCACTGAAATGCCACATATATTTTGTAACCAACTGCTCTGGCTTCACTGTGGCAGGACTATAGACTCTGGAATGAAACACTGCAGTGAGCCCAAGAGCCCTGTCTTTACTGATGTTTCCTGCAGCTGTTACTTGTGCATACCCCTCATTTTAGGCCAGCCTCAAATCCCATGTCCTACTCCCGAGTTTGAGCAGCCTCCAGGACCTACGTGTTGCTAAGGACACTGGACATTTGGAACAGAGTTCATCTGTCTAGGTCACAGGGCTAGGAGCACAACAGCCTCCCCTGCTACTCACATGCAACCAGCTCATACAGACCAGAGGATATTTTGAAAGTGGGCGAGCCTGGATCCATTGCTTTTGGATCCCCTCGCTGCAGTGAATCAGAAGTGATTCACTTGACTCTGTGGCACCCAGCCACGCCTGCCACTGCCTGGAGCTGGAGCTCTCTGCCCTTGGGGCAGCCTTCTCTGCCCGTGGTGGGCCTCTGGGTTCCCTCTGGGCACAAGTGCTGCCTACCAAACAGTTTTCCAGATCTGGCTTGTATCACTGGCTGCCTTTTACTGACATGGGAAACAAAATCTATGGTAACAAACAGCGAAAAAGCATCACTAGAGACCATACCTTTGGAATTGGGAATTGGCATTCTCCTGAGCAGTAATAGGCATCGAAGGACTTAGGGGAAATGATCCACTCGCTCCAGCCGATGTCTGCAAAATCCACCTTGAGATAGCGCCGGGCGCAATTCCTCGGCTCGTTCCACTGCTTCCTCCTCGCCTTCTTCAGTGTTTGCTCATCAAACTGCAGAGTCTGGGTCTTCTGGAGATGACTCTTCCTCTGCTTCTTCTTACTCCTGGCCCTGTCTGCTAGCTGTGGCTGGAAGGTCTTGTAGGGTTTTGTGCCTTCCCATGCCTGCTCCTCTCCATACTGGTACTTGGCTCCTGGGAGCTCATTGTTCTGCAACGGCAACAGGACGTTTGCAGAGCGTTTCCTCCGGCGGTTATCCACGCTGCTCCTCCTGTGGAGCTCTGGCTTGGGAAGGACCCTTGCCAGAGGATGACGGTGTCCTCGCAGAGTGGAGACAACACTCTCTGGCTCTGAGATGGCAGAATCATTGGCGTAAATCAGGATGTAGGGCTCGTAGGAGGAAGATGCTCTTTCCCAGGGAGGATGGCTGGTCAGATCCATTTTAACACTGATCAGCAGCTCGTTGTTTTGTTTTGCTTCATGCAGGAGCTGAGTGATATCCTTCCACTGCCAGGAAAGGATATCCTGGTAAGCAGAGGAGACATTTATGAGGAAATGCCCCAGGCTCCGAGTCAGGTTCCCAGCTGAAGGAAAGGTCCAAACTGAAAGACGCATCTGAATTTCAGGTTTCTTGTGCCAATGATGAGAACAGCCACTGGGCTGGGAACAGTTCCATTTCACATGCAGCAGATCACCAATATAATAATACACTGAAGCTGACAGGACGTTTTCAGACTCTGTGAGTGATGTCAAGTTAAAAACGTACATCTCCTGGCCTTTGGGGCTCCCTGGAAAAAGAAGTAATCACATAAGAAAATGGGCATCTAAAAATCTCATCCAGAGGGGCACAGGGCTGCTCTGACAGCCTTTTGGCTAAGTCAGATACTACTCATGCCCAAAGTTTCCCTCTAGAAGATTCAGTTACACTGGGTACATTTAGTCATTCCATCCTGGACACTTCATCAATTTTCATGCCAGAGTTAGAAGGTATTTATTAATACAGCTGAATGCAGGCAGATGGTACTAGACCATCCCCGGCAGCCCAAAGAAAGCCAATCCAAAAACCAGATTTGAGGGGTTGTGAGGTGGCACACTCCCTTGTGTCTGTGCAGGGATGAACAAGGCAAGGACAACCCTCCTTATGCCTGGGATGTGCCTGTGCCAGGCAGGAGTGAGTGCTTCCCACAGCTGTGAAATCCAGGAAGTGGAGCCAACCTCAGGTACCACACCCGAGCCCAGGGAAACACGTAGGGGACTCTAGCCCCTACAAGGTGCAACAGCAAGGCTCAAGAGGAAGGTGTAATTTTTCTTCTAAAATTCCCTGTGCGCTGCGGTTATGTCCATCCTTCAGAGAAAGAGAAATACTGATCAGAATGTTAAGCTGTAAACCAGGCTGGTAGGGAAAACTCAAATATGGTACAGCTAAGGTATGGTCTGCAGCCCTGCCCAAAGGGCTGGAAACATCCTGACATGTTATGGAAACGAGGGCATGCAGAATTAAATGCTTTTTGTACACCATGGCATGTGAAAAGCCTCTACAAAGGTTAAGTCCAAGCAGTGACAAGCACAGAGATGGCCATGGACTAGGGATGACCAGCCACACCACTGCCACCCTCCACACAAAGTAGGAAGTCCCTAGCCCAGGCAGGTGAAAACACCATTTCCAGTACTCATCTTTCACAGACATTGACAATTTCATGTTCTGTGTGACATTCAGCATCTCCAGCCTGCAATATCCCAATGGCCAGTCCCATTCAGGTAAGTGTGGCAAAAGCCAGAACTCTCCCTGTGCTGCCTCATCCCTACCCCAGCAATCCAAGCAGCTTCCTCCTCTTCTGAACATTTTTGTGTCATAATATTCCAATTAAAAAAGCAGGAACTGGTCCCACTAGAAAGAGAGAACCCTTCTCCCTGACCTAGTAGGTGCACTGCTTCATGGAATTTTGGCAAAAAACTGCACATCATCTTCAGTGGAACAGGGCCAAAACAGTGCCATGGACAAATCATCTAAGGAATCATCTTTGTTTACATGTTCAGCCTTATCTGACAGCAAAGCACACAGGTAACTTCCCATGTGCAGAAAACTCACATACCACGGGTTACAGATGCCTAGGGAACTAGATTTACCTGGAATTCCATCCTGTCTTTTATTCCTCAAGCCAAAACCAGCTCCTGACCACACCTGTACTAGGCATACATGAGGACCTGATTTCTGCTTGGTTTGTAACCACTGATGTAATAAGGTTCATATGTAATTTGGCAGAGCACTGATCACATCAGTCTTAGGAGCCAGAATTCTGACAGGTGTCCCATGGGCACCTGTTTAAGAAGTTACTATTTGAATCACTTCTGTATGCCGAAGGACAAATTTTGATCTTAATTTTTATTACCAATGCCACTTAAAAAAATCCTGCCTGTTCTAAATTGGCATATTGTATTGGAAGACAAAGGAAGCTACTTTTGTTCATCAAGAAATTCTGGACAGCATGGGGCAGACACAGAGGGAGTCTATAGCTCTGGTTAAAAGCTGAATTCCAGGCTGTAGCTCTATGCCAAGACGAAGCACTTGCAGTAGATGGTGCTATTTTCCTACACAACCACCTCCAAGCTTCCGCGGCTCTAAGTTCTCTCTCTTTCATCTGCAAAATCGTCTCAAAAACAGTTACTAGAGGCCAGCACGGACATCTGTGGATTCACCAGATTCTGCCTCAAGAAACCCAACTGCATGACCTGGGGTTTCATCAAAATTTGGAAATACCGGGTGCAGTACACCACTTGTGTGACACTGATACCCGACTCCCAGGTGCAAGCATTGCACTGAAATAAGCATCCCCCGGGCCAGAAATTACCCTTAAAAATTACAGGCACGCCAAGGAAGATGCAAAGTAACTACAAAGGTGTCTCTTGCTCAGGAAAACTTCATTTCATTGAAATGAGACTTTTGTTTTTGCCTCATAGGACGCGCTCTGCTGGAAACCATTCCTGACTGTTTGCTAACAGCTGGAACCCAGCTCCTGGCACGGCAGCTGAAGTACCTGTACCTGCTGGATCTTAGGGGCATGGCCCACGCTTCCTCGCCTCCCTGCACCACTCCACAGCTGCAAGGCAGGCTTGTGACTGGCATTTAAAAATTATTTTTAAGGAAGTGCAGTAGGTCTGTCAAGAGCGACACAGATTCCTGTCACAAGGGGGATTTCAGGCATCAATAAGCTGGAATGAGTCTGCTAACATGTGGTGTGTTTACCTTTATAGAGGATGCCCTGACATTTTTATGGACTGCCAAATCTATCCTACGGGTGAAAAAGGATGCAATAAGTTATATAGTCACAATTAGCCATCATTTAAAAGAGATATTAAAGAGGTGCCCTTGTGCCAGAGCCTGGTTAAGAACGGATCGGCGTTTCCGGTGTAAAACATTGTTCTCATCAGTTCACAGCCCACATACAAAAGTTCACTTGGAGCTGGAAATGGGAACAAGCTCCTCCACAGAAACAGATCTGGCAGTCAGATTTTCTCTTTTCTCCCATCTTCCTCTTACTTGGCTGCTGCTTCCTAGTTACCAATTTGTGTTCTCTGCAAAAGCAGAAGATAGGATGTGGTTCACCCTTTTGAAAGAGCATAGGAGCTGGTGCTAAACTTCTTTTACTAATTCCTTTAGCAAAGCAGGTAAGATCACAGCAGGTAGCAACCTGATACAAAACAGCAGCAAGTTCACCATGGATTAAAGCTATCAGACGCCCAAAGAAAGAACTTGTGTAGAAACAGCTACGCTGCATACCCAGGACCTAACTTACATGAGGGTTTCATGATATGAAACCCACTAATCAGCACATGCACAGCCTAGGTACGCTGAACAGTGGCCACTTGATCTCTTTTCTATATATTTTAAGGACCACAGCAGGTGTGAAAACTAAACACAACATCCAGCTTGAAGCTAGCTAAGGGGGTACATCCACAGTAGACACAAATCTGGGCAGAAGAGCTGACCTCCCTCTTCCTCACAGCCACGATTCATTGCACTTTGGCTGCTGGGGTGAAAAGCACCTTGTGCACAGCCTGTCCTCTGAAGCCACAGCTCCTGATGCTGAAGCAATGTGTTCTAGAAACAGGGACTGGCAGGGAGCTGCAAACACAGGTGGGCTCACGTGCATGGCACCGCTGCGAGACACACAGTGACAGAAGTCAGAAAATTCTGTCCCGAGGGGCCGAACCCACAGATCCTCCTGCCCATTTGCCTCAGAGGCTGGCAGATTTGGGCCCATCTGCCCAAATCATAGCTTAATGTTTGTCGAGTTCCTGAAAAATACCAGGATGCTACTGCTTGCATTGTATTTACAGTGGTGCAGAAAAAAACCCAACCAAACAAACCAAAGAAACACACAGAAGGAAAAAACACAAGTCCCCTGACTGAATATTTTTAAAGCTCTTGTTGCAAAGAACCCCTGATACTACTGGTGCTCAGAGGGGCCAGCATTTGGCCTGGACTGGTTTCTGCAGGCTGATGGCAGCCGGTGAGGCGCTGCTTTCCCTGTGCTTGCTCCATTTCCCCTGTTTGCGTGGGCACTTTGCACCACAGCAAAGGAAAGAAAGGCCTTTGGAAAGGGAGGAGAACATAGTTCTAAAACCACAAGAATTGGCCCAGGGGCAGGTTTAATACCTGAAATTACTTGAACTTCAGTCAATAAAAAAGAGTTTAAAGTAATTTCTGACTGTATAGCTACACTATAACACCATTAGGAGGACCTTCCAATTAAAGTCAGGACTCATTTGCAAGCCATGTTCCTTAAGTGATGCTAGGATTAAAAATGCTTTCAGAAGCAAACCCAATCTGCATTTGAGGCTTTTATCTTTCCACTCTCTTTTATTTTTTCATGCTGTATCTGACCTCCAAATCCTGAGCCTGAGCAGCAAGCAGCACACCTCCAGAGGAAGTGCTGAGGGTAAGCAGATTTCTGCTCAGGTCTCTTTCAGGAGGAGAGAACAGTTGTGTACAGACACTGCAGCATGGGCAGGACCACAGCTCCAGAGTTCCCTTGCCAGAACTGCTTACAGATCACCTGACTTTCTTTCCTATATGTCTTTTAGAGCCGCAATGGATGCAACATCACTCACTCCTGTGGCACCCACAGGTAAAGAACTTGAAAAAGCCTGTCCAAAGCAACACAAGGACTACCAGAGTCATCCCAGAAATGTCCTGCAACAGTGAGGAGAGCAGCTGCAGAAATCACAGGCTGAACATCCCTTGACTCAAACACAGAGAAACAAATTACAGCAGTTAAGTCCATGAGAGAGAACAGTGTTAAAGTGTAACTAAACACTCTGAGAAAGATGTACATCCTTACTGCACTCCTCATGGATTTCAGGCCTGGGGTTTCGCTTCAGCTTTGTCACAGGCAAAGGTTCCTTTCTCTGAGCTATTCAAACAGATAATTTAGCAAGACTAACAGGAAACAAATTTACCTGAATGATTGCATGAACATTCAACAAAATCAATGGCCTAAACCCCCAGCCCAAACAAGCAACTGTCCAGCCTGGTTGTGAAGTCTGGTGCATGAGAGATTTGAGGGCAGCGTGGGATGGAGCCTTCAAAGAGATGCCACACGGGGCTGAAGCTCTGGTTCCATCCCCTCAGAGAACTGAGCTGCTGAAAGAGAAACTTGCTTTTAACAGGTATGAGGATGCTTGTTTTGATTACTCAGTCTTGGCTGGGTTTTGCTGGTTGTTGGTAACAGGGTTGCAGCTGCCACATGTGACACCACTGTCCTTTGACTAGAAACAGGGATGAGTTTTAACAAATCCTACGAGTCTTTGGTCTCATCACACAATACTCTAGAGTCTCAAAAATTTGTCTGCTGGGTTACCTGAGACATTTGGGAAAGGCTTTTCCCATGTGCTGCAGAAGAATCAGAAGCCCCTGCAGAGAAAAAGCAAGGACAGAAAGGTTCCACAGCTACATTTCAGAGCTCAGGAAAATTTGTGCTTCAGAAAGGAAGAGCTTCCCTCCTGAAGACGTCAGACTAAATTGCAAAGTTAAACTGCAAATGAAACCACTGAAAATTTACTTCAAGACCTCTTGCTGTAGATGGAGGAGACATAGGAGGATTCTTGGGGAACTTCTGCTCCTAGCAGACAAAAAATTGAGTCCTGAAGGGGCCGGCAGAGGGACTGGTAAAATGTGAAGGAGTAATAGCAATGTCCCATATTAAATTAACTTATGCATCCCATTAAGGACAAGGGGAAGCTGGACAAGGGAAAGACTGAAATTTGGAGCCAACGAGTGCAACAGTCAAAGCAGAGGAGCTAGAGACAAAGTACCTTGAAAGGGGAATACTGCTGGATGTGCCATTCTAATGGCAGGCCTTGTCAGGCAGCTGGGCCCAAGGAAGAAGTCAGAAAGAGTCTTTCCATTGCACCCACTGCCCCTGAGGAGCATCAAATATAAGGGCTTTCTGGAAACAGATTTTTCTGCCATCAATAACCACACAAAATAAGCTGCTGCTGCCAACGGCAAGAGAAAGACAATAGCTAACTGGTAATATTTTGCATAAGTATTTATTAAAGTGTCAACAATTTTTGAAACCAATTTATTGCTTTGGCACTTGATCTGTGAAAGTAGTGGAGGAGGAGGAAAGGGATTAGCAAGCAGTGTGTTTATAGGACTGCTGCCACTCAACATCAAGTGAGAGTACAAATATAATCAGAAAGACCACAGAGATGGGATTTCAACCAACAACATTGTAGGTTTAGAGCAATAAATGTCTTTAATCAGATATGCATAACAGAGCAAATATTGCTCTGCTAGGGTCATTAACAAGCTCCCTTTTTTTTTTTTTTTTTTTTTTTTGGGGGGGGGGGTGCATGGGGTAGCTGTAGTGAATCCTCCCCTCTCTTGGTAGGCTTAATTCAGCGACAGTCATGGACATGAGACTTCATGGGGCCAGCAAGTCAGGTTAGAAAGGCAAGAGAGCTCTTCAGTAAGAGCAGTGGCTGGGGAGTCCTGGCTCTCAGTGCTCCAAACCCAGGGTAATTACTCCTCTAAAGCCTCTCCTGTGGACAGAAATACTTGCAGGGTTGAAACCTAAGACACGAAAGCCACTGATTCCTCATTGTATTTGATCTCTGCACAGAGCTGCCTTATAAAAGACATGGTTGCTTTTGAAGAAGCAAGGAAGCCCGCTACCCACAGCTCTCTTTCCAAGGATGGGACAGACTTGAAGCAAGTCACTGAAATGCACAGACAGCTCTCACTTTTACTGAGAGATGCTTGTCCAAGAAAAAGCAGTGGGTCAGTGCACCGGTGTAAAGAAAAGTGAGAGACTGGCAAATGGGGCTTCTGTGTGTGCCGTGACAGCTGTCCCACACGCAGCAAGGTTTTGGGGTGCAGCAGGTAAGGGGAAGGACATGCCAGCAATGCTCATCTTTGGGTTCTGGCCATTCCATTTAGCCCTTGTGGAGCTCACATGCACAAAAACCATAAGAGGGAAGGGTTAGGGTTAGCACCTAGACAGCGACTTCTTCTCTTTCTGCTAGGACATGGTTCCTTTGAGTTGCTGGCATGTTAAACATGTCCCCCTCCCTTAGAGAAAATGTTTTTACATTTTCACCCATCCACATGCGTATGCCAGTGCATAACCACAGAGCCTCTTCCAAAGATGACAAGATGAAGTATTGACGACACCTAAGTCGTGCTTCAGCTGAACTCATCTGCTACTGCATCTCATTGTCAGTAAACCCCAAACCATGTCACAGCTCCATCACGTGCAAATCAGCCCTTGGCCCCAACAGAAGCTACATGTGCAGAACACCACTAACAAATGGGGGACTCCGGAGAAGATCCACTAATTACTCTACCTCCCTCGCACTGTACTCAGCCATCGTGATGACAGCGATGCTAGAAGCAGAGCAGAAGCGGTAAGGCAATAATTAAAGCACAGGACATAACATCAAACACGACAGTCCTCGCAGGAAGAGATACTCCTCCAATTCTCTCATTTATTCCCTCCACCGAGCTCTCCGGGCGCCGCCCCAGCGATGCTCCGAGGCCGCCGCTCAGGGAGCACGGGGCTGCCCCGCGGCCGAGCGCTCCCCGCCGGGAGCCGAGCCCTGTCCCGACGGGGTCCCCCCTCGTTCCCCGGCCGCGGTGCGCACTCACCTGCCGGCAGCGGGCGGAAGCCGCGCACCGTGTTGCCCCGGCGGAGCCAGGGCCCGGGCGGTGCCGGCGGGTCCCGGCCGCCGCGGTACTGCTCGTAGAGCCGCAGCATGTGCTCCGCCACTCTGTCCGCCGCCGCCGGCCGCTCGGGCCGCCGCTGCCCCGGGCCGTCCTCACCTGCGGCCGCCCGGGCGCGGCTGCCCCGCACGGCCCCCGGCGCAGCCCGGCGCCGCAGCCCGACCCGGCGCGGCCGCAGCGCGTCCCCCAGAGCCAGGCACAGGCAGCCCCATCCCAGGCACAGGCACAGCACCCAGCGGGCCGACGCCGCCATCCCGCCCCTCCGTCCCGGCGGCGGCGCCCGGGGCCCCCAGGCGAGCCCGGCGCTGCGCGGATGGCGCGCTCGGGGCGTTCTCCTCCTGGAGAAGGAAAAAAGGGGGAAAGAAAAAAAGGGGAAAAGAAGAAGAAAAAAAAAAAAAAAACGACAAAAAGCGGGGCGGAGGAAAGCTCCACGGTTTGTACCGCCCTCCCTTCCCGGCGGGGAGCGAGGGCTTTATTCCCAGCCGTGCAGGTTGCTGTCGGGAGAGGCGGCGGTGCTGCTCCCGGCACGGCTCCCGCTCGGTGCAGCCCCGCGCCGCGGAGAGACCGGGGCAAGACCGCCCCGCCCGCCCTCGCTCCGGCGGGGAGCCGACACCCCAGGGGAGCGCAGCCACGGGACGGGACGGAGGGAGGGGATGCTCTGGAAACTCCATCCCCCTGGGCGGACGGCGATCAAGGCGGAGGACGGTCCCCTGCCCGCCTCCACCCAGCCCCTCCCAAAGGCCGTACAACAACGTGATCGCATTAAAAAAGAAAATCACGAGTAGCAGCGCACTCACGCTTCTCCCCTGGAACTTCTCAAGGCTAGGCTTGGCTGGGAGCGGAGCACAGTCCACCGCGGGCAGGTGGAAGCGATGCTCACCGGGTTGTGCTGGGGTTCTGCCTGCCTCTCCCGAGCAGCAGCCGCGCTCAGTGACCCTCGGCAGCCTGGAACCCGTGGGAAGGGACGCGCAGCCAGAGAAATCCCGCACAAGTTGTTCCTTGTTCAGCTGAGACAATTCTATGTGCCTCCCGCATTTGCTGTCTTTCGGCACCAAAGGACAGAAATGTCCCACCCGCCCTTGCCAGTGCCGCAGCCTCACACAACCGCACACTTACAAACTGTGACACTGCAGCGAGGCTCCTCTTCCACCTCCCGTGTGTTCCCTGCCCGATGTACAGATGAGGCCCCCCTTTGTTGCAAGGCAGATTTGGGTAAGGGACAGCGTCCTGTGTGCTGGTTCCCAAGATCAGCTTGGTTTCGAAGCTGAAGAAGGGAGATAATAAGATTGGCCTACAGACCAGCACACGGAGATTAGCACATAGCATTTTCAGCAGGGCATTTGGCTTTTCCACAGGCTGCAGCAAGCGTATCATTATCCAGCCTTAAATAGAACACTACGACACTTTATGTATTGCCTCTCAAATTACACTGAAATTAGGATCAGTAGCAAGCACTGTTATGCACTTGTATAAGCCCATCTGTAACTAGGAGAGGTGAGTGCACACCAGCAGGTAGGGAGGAAAGGGAAGATTCTCAGCAGCAGAGGAGTGATTTTTATATGCTCCTACATTTGAAGGCTCAGATACAACCCATGGCAGTGGCTCATCCCCTAACAGTGCCGAGGCACCGAAGCTGCCATATGCATCTCCAAATCCTAGCCAGAGATGTGGAAACACACCACGTCACTATCCATGCAAGTAGTACCATTACCTCTATTTTTCTCTAGCTGAGAAATACACATTAGTGCAATATAAAAGCTAACAAAAGAAGCAAACATAATTAACAAGTTCATACTTAAAACATTAAGGTATAATTGCTTTTTTGTAGACATAAGTAATAAAACCAATGCAGATCCATGTAGAAAGAAAACAAAATTATTTAAACTGATGGCTAAAAAATTCAGCACAAGCAGCAGCCCCTGGCTTATATCCATGGCAGAACAGTCAATCCCAAAGAAGAATATCTACGCAACTGGAAATTACCATTTCGGGATAATTTCAGATTTCAGTTTTTTCCTACTGTTGAAAGAAGCAACATTAAAAAAAAAACCCAAGCAACAACACGCCACAAGTCCTTAAATAAAAACTGGCATAACTGAATCCTGTCCTAACCAAGCCATTGGCTGGAAGATGTCATCTTTTGTACATCTCCAACACATCCTCTGAGCAGCTTCCTGACTCTTGAGATCAGACCACTGTAAATTGAGAATTACCTGAGTTGAAAAAATTTGAACAAATCATCAGATAAATTCTCAAGCGAAAGGGGATTAGACAAGAACTACTTTTAGTTCAACATGGAAGCTCAAGCACCCTATGGATGAGCTTTTATTTAAAATCCTTTAAGTGTTAGCAGAAAGCCCTGTTTATGTAAAATTAAATCCAAATTCAGTTCCCAGAAACTCGCCCCAGCACCTGATTGCGGCTAAGGGTCTAAAATAGAAAGTTAGCCCTATACAAACCTGTTACAGCCAGCAAGGAGAGAGAAAGAGGACACTGCATATGAAACAGAAAGGAAAAAGTGACTTCTCGGGGCATTAGGAGCCTTCTCTGAATCCTCCTTTTCAAACAGCTGCTGCAGCTCTCAGGGTGTGCTAAGCAGGCACACATAGGCTTTTAAAAATCCTTCGTTTTATGGGCTGTCCCTGTGACTTATCAGGACACTCATTACACAGAGTTCTGCAGCTTGTGAAGTTTAAGAATGTTCCCCACTCCATGAGATTTTTAAATGCCAGAGCCTTGTTGTGAGCACACCATCCAAACCAAACCAAACCATGTTGGGAGCTCCTCTCCACAGCTGACAAACTCTCACCCCTTACCTCCAAGGGAACAGCACTTCTGTGCTTCTCTGCTATTCCTTTTCTGCTTCTTCCACAGAAGTGCTGCAAACCAGTTATTCTAACACATCCTGCCCTTCAGCTACAGCCAGCACAACTCCAGGCCCTATTGGGCCTGAGCAGTTCCATCCTGATCACCACACTCTCCAGCCTGTGCAGCAACTTGGCCTTTCAGTTCCTTAGCCCCTGGTAGAGAGCGGACTTCAATCCAAATTAAGTTTATTTAAATAGTAAGCAAGTCCTGTGCCATCATCAGGGCCAGCCTCACCACCCTCCAGCAGCCCCTTCAAAAGTGCTATTCAAACCTCCACCAAAACTTCAAGGTTTTCACTTTCTCAGAACTTGCCACGGGCTGCACAACCTGCTAACTTTGCAGCCATTTGCTCCCTTTACACAAGCACTCGGAAGTCCCAGGGAACAGGAAACCACAAATACTCCTTCTAGAGGAAATGAAATAATTACATATTTGCATAACAAAGTGATATTAGCAAAATCTGTTCAGCATGTGAAGGCTAACCCCACACTCGTGCTGCTATTTGCCTGGCTCTCAGCTGCTGCAGAGCTCACTCAGCACAGCAACCTCCGCTGCTGTGGCTCCTGCATCCAGCTCTCCTGGCTGTCATCTGGAGAATTCCCCACTGCAGCTCTGCCTCTGCTGCCTCTCACCGGCCCTCCACACATCTGTTTGGCTGTCTCAGAAGGGCTTCTGTGTGCTCTGCTGTGGCAGGGCCTCCTGACACCAATTCTTGGGGTCAGTGACGCCAGCTCTGCGCCCTGGTGTGTTCCCAACCCCACAAAGCCACCCCCACTCTTACCAGAACCCAACCCCAGGTTAAGGTGTGCTGTCCCGCATCCAGGGACCTTGTCTCTTCTCCCTGGGGTCAATCTAACCACTGATATGGACCACTGTGCCCTGGTCCTTATCACCTCCTTGCATCCCTGACACATGCACATTCCAGGTACACCAGGTACAAATGAGAATGCTGAGCAGCTCATCATCCAGCAATGCCTGGAACCACGGCACCCATCCAGCAATGGATCCAGCTCGGAACCACGTTCCAAGGACCTCAACGCCCCGTGCTGCCTCTCCCATTACTGCAAACAAGGAGGCACGTGCTCCTTGTAATGCTCCTGCTCACGGCCCCAGAGAAGTACACAGAGAGCAGTCTTTCACGAGGCAGACTGGGGTGGGAAGCCCTGAGCAAAGCCCCTTGTGCACAGCCATTCCCTGTATCCCCTGTGCTGGCTTTTCGAGGCTCGCCAGCTGGGCTGGGTGTTTGCTCAGGTGGCCAGCAGCAGCCTTCCCCCTGGAGGGGCCCTCCAGCAGAATTTCTTCTCTCGGGCCCCGGGATCACATGTTTCTCTCACCACAGAGAACTTCTGCTGCAGGACCCGTAACAGCTCTGCCTGGAGGCGAGCTGAAATCAAACACGCCTTGAGCGAACAACAGGCGCACAACAAGAGCCACGCTCCCCTTCCGTGCAAAGCCGTGTTCTGTACACACAGCTCATCTGCGTGGCCACAGTCCCTTCAGCACCTGTGTTTTTGTTTTCTTTGCGGTGGGAACTGCGGCTTGGCCTGCACTGCTTGTCCCTGCCTGCCTCGCAGAGAACTGCCCAAAGGTTTTAGTCATCTGTAATCTGATTTCTGTGTGTGGGGAGATGGAATTAAGGGTACAGTTTCCCCAGATGCTTCTTTCACAGAAGGCCAAAAGGAGTTCTCTAATCTAATGATGTTCTACATTTTCTACTAAATAGTAACATTTTTCTACTAAATAAATTTCTACTAAACATTTTATACTAAATAATAACAACTCTGCTGTGAATGTGCTAGTGGCTCAGCAGAATGAAGCTCTTCAGCACCAGCCTCCTGCTACTTTCCAGCTCCACACTATGACCTAAAACAACCACCACAACAACAGATCCCGGTGTTGTTGCAAGACCAAAGATCCAGATGCCACATAAAAAGAAAAAAAATTATGATTTTGGTGGGGTGCTGAAGAAACTGAAGAACTGAAAACATATACAGGCTATTACAACCTGTAGACCTTAACTGATGCACACAGTTCAGATGTGCTGGAAAAAGACCTACAACTCCCCCCACTGGTACAAAATCTTGATTTCCAGGGATCCACTTGCCCATCAATGCCCAAAATCAGTTCACTTACGGCAGCATGCAAACCCTGTACCTGCAGTAAATGTCACAATCGACAACAACACCAGAATCTCCTTTTGAAAAAAAACTTAGACACTTCCATGCACCTTATGTTTACATCGAGAAGTAGTTTTGGGCTGGACAGCTGGCATTGGTTTCTACTAAAAAGCCACAAGGCCTAAGAATATACACCAGAAGCTTTCATGTGGTGATCAGTCCTTGGAATGCTTCTCTCTTGATTGCTGTGCACTTTGCTTGTCCACTT